TGTTTTTTTGTCCTTTGTATTTTAACGGTTTAAGTGAAATGTGGGGTCATAAAAAAAAAAAAAAATCAAAACATCACTTTTGGCCACTGTTGTGTTTGGTGGGGTTAGTGCCACAATATGTAAGAACCTGCTTACTGTGTCATCACCGGTGCATTGCTGCATTTTTCCAGCCAAAAAAAAAATAATTACTACTTTCATGTCTGCTGTTAGAGCATTGACTTGTTGAGTGGAAGAGGTTATTACATTTTTTACTTTATCAGTTAAAGTTTTTATCAAAAAATACTTTTTGAGCTTTACAATTAAGTTTGTATTGTTTTATCAACTCCATATTATCATATAAGTCCAATATATTTTCACTGGAAAGTGTTTGTCATCTCCTCTTTTCTGCCATCTTATTACTCCTAACTAGGTTAGGAGACCTCTCCAGCTCTCTTAAATAATTTAGGAGCTGAGACCTCTTTTAACACTTAGGAACCTTTATGAATCACTCTTATTCTTAAGTCTAGGAATAAGAGTAAAATTACGTCATTCTTAGAATTTTGATACACTTAACACTAAACTTTTACTTTGAGCGGCTTTATACATATGGCCCCTGATCTATACTTAAACAGACTCAGTTTCTCATTCTCATTTTATAAATAAATAAGAGAACAAAATAACATATTCTGTTTTGATTAAGTCTTTTGTTTGTTTGTTTGTTGTTTTTGCACTTTTTTTCAGCAGAATTAAGCATGCAATAAATTATATTTAAAAGTCATTAATTTTACATATTTTTTGTAGTTAAATTCTGCTATTCACCATGCCATAAACAGAAATGTCAAATTTTACAGTTAGTGTAAATTTGTCTGTCTACTGCTGTCATTTTAACTGTGATACAGTGCAAACAAAAAAAAAGAGTAAATTATAATAATTACAAAGAACTGAACAGAATGTCTAAAGACATTTTAAAGGGGTCATATGATGCGATTTCAATTTTTCCTTTCTCTTTGGAGTGTTACAAGCTCTTGGCAAATAATGTTCTTTTTAGCAGCATCATATGACCCCTTTAATGTATAAATGCATTTATCACATAAATAATTAATATTATTAAAAAATTAAATTTTCTTCATGACCCCCCCCCAATATGTAATGATAAAACTTTTTTTATGAAGAATCTTTTTCTTTTGCTCCGAATGTCTTTCCTGTAAGTTTTATGCTGAACTTACTGATAAACCCTATTAGAAGTGTGTGTGTGTGTGTGTGTGTGTGTGTGTGTCCCACAGATAAGCTGCTCTATGTGCCTTACTTAGTTTTCCCCTAAACACCAGTGGAGTGGAGGGCAAACAAGACCACGGTGAGGTTCATGCATAACAGCCGCTCCTGCTCTCTTTAAGAGAATCGCACAGAGCGCCGCTCAATAAATCCATGCTGGAATGAATGAAACCCAACAGAAACAGCTCTTCACAGTGTGGGCCTTTGAACAGCATCTACAGAGATCAAGGAGTTATTTGTAGCAGGAGACGCAGCAGAAACGCCCAGAGGCTGCAGCATGTGTGTGCCACATACACACACTCCAGCAAAGACAAACACATCGCAGTAGATGCGCGAGTCTGGAAACACTCCAGGAAATGTCAGTGTTGTATTGCTGATGAAAACACAACCAGCATTTGCACAGAAGAAATTCGGCAAAAGAGGTTGCCAAAGCGTTGCTAAGGTGTTCTGATATATACAGTGCTTAACAAATTAATTAGACCACCTGTCATAATAAAGAGAGAAAACAAATATGTTTAAGAAAATGTTTTAAAAATATATTTTAGGAATCTGTCAAAAACTCATTTAAAACTAAAAATTGTATTGCCATTTATTAGGCAAATAACAAAGTGAAACAACTAAATAGTCTTTATTCACACATAATAACCAAAAAACTAAAACTATATTTTATTTTGTATGGCCACCTTTGGCCTTGATAACGGCTTGCTTTCTTGCTGGCATTGTTTTTATGTACTTTTCCACAGTCTCTGTTGTTATTCACTTCCAAATAGTTTCTAGTTGTTCCCAAAGACTTGCCTTTGAATAAATGTTGTGAGATATATTTTGAATCTATTAAATCCTAACAATAATTATATTTTAGCATTAGAAACACTGGGTGGTGGTCTAATAAATCTGTTAAGCACTCTCTCTGTCTCTCTCTCTCTCTATATATATATACATATATATACAGGTGCATCTCAATAAATTAGAATGTCGTGGAAAAGTTCATTTATTTCAGTAATTCAACTCAAATTGTGAAACTCGTGTATTAAATAAATTCAATACACACAGACTGAAGTAGTTTAAGTCTTTGGTTCTTTTAATTGTGATGATTTTGGCTCACATTTACCAAACACCCACCAATTCACTATCTCAACAAATTAGAATACTTCATAAGACCAATAAAAAAAAACATTTTTAGTGAATTGTTGGCCTTCTGGAAAGTATGTTAATTTACTGTACATGTACTCAATACTTTATATATATATATATGCACACACACACACACACACCATTTTATCAGGATCTGTATTAGTCAGTGTTATTTTAGTATTAAAAATAAACGAGTCGTCCCTGAAAGCAGATTCAGCAGATTCAGATCAACTAGTCACAAGAACTACAAAAAATTGAGTCTTCCTTGATTTCTGAAGCCCGTTTCATTCGAACTTTCAAGTCGAACTTCAGAGCAACATCAGAGCTACACTAAAGAACCTTCAAAAGGATCATGAGCAGCTCTCCACTGAATGTAATCAGTGCATCACTCAGGTTGACAAGCTAACAACACAAGTAAACGAACTTCAAACAAACATGGAGAAAGACAAACGGCAAGGAAAAGAAGTGGCTGATCAACAAAGTAAAGGGGTACAACCACCACCCAGTGCCACACTTACCACACCCCCATCACTAGAATATGTCCCAGAGGGTCCTCCTATTCCTGCTTGGAAAATGACCATTTAAAGTTGACCTTTCCCACATTTGGAAGACCGTCGGATGACACCGATCCTCTGCTGTACCTAACACGGTGTCAGGACTTCTTGGCATTGCACCCACTTGCAGAGATGGACCTCCTGGCAACCTTCCGCAGCGTACTCCATGGCACTGCACGTGACTGGTGGGAGGTTGCCTGATCTTCCATAACGACATGGAATGAATTCGAGACTGCTTTCCTCTCAGCCTTCCTCTCCGAAGACTACAAAGATGAGCTGGCTGAAAGGGTCCGCACAAGGTATCAAAGAGAGAGATAATCCATCAGAGATTTTGCCTTTACATATTGTGCCCTCTACAAAAGATGGAAGCCTTGTCTAACTGAAAAAGAAATTGTCAAAATGATTATCAAAAATATAAACCCTTACCTCGCGAGCCAGCTACGTAGTCGTGTGAGCACCATGGAGGAACTGGTAAAGCTGGGACATCGGCTAGAGAAGGACCATGAGCAGCAACTATACTATGAAAAGTGTATGAGCAGAAAATCCACAGCAGAACGTAACTAAAAAAAAACATCAAACCCACTGATCAACCCCAAGTGCAATGTTGGAGATGTAAGGGACATCACTCACCTGGATTTTGTCCACTTTATGTCAACCCATCCTCAAACCAACTTGCAAAACAGCAACATTCTTTCACCAGTCAATGATCATTTCATTCCCATAGGTATGGAGGTCAAGCAACTAATAATTATGTGACAGCTACAACAAATAAAAGATTGTCCACTTCCAAGAAACCACCCCCTTCACCAAAGCTTGTTCCTCCTGTTGTCATTCCACAACAGCTGATTGTTCCCATCCACATTGGTGGGTGGTCGGGAAAAGCCATAGTGGACACGGGGGGCCAGCTACACTATGATCCATGAGAGTTTGTGGAAAAATCTCTTTCCACAAGAGAACCTCCAACCTTGGTCTCTCGGTCCACTGTATTTGGCTAATGGCGAAGCAGAGGTGCCTTTAGTATGGCTGCAGTTATCAATTCACATTCACAACAAAACCTTCACTTTACCTGTCGCTATCCTTTCCCCTAAAGCACTAGCCTATGCTGTAGTTTTGGGACTGGATTTCATCTTATTTAGTGGCCTACAAATCAGTGTAAGCAACAGTAAATATTAATTTAAGTCCACCCCACAAGAAGATTATGCATTTCAACCTGGCAATGCAAGTGTACCTGATGTCTGCCCTCAACGCCAAAAGACCGAACCACACGCAGATATTTTTTACCAAAGCCTCTCACTGTTAAGTTCAAAAGAAATTGCATTCCTGGGACATGTTGTCAGTATCAGTGGCATCACAGCAGACTCTTCCAAAGTTGAGGCCATCAGATCTTACCCTGTGCCGCGGAATATCAAAGAGGTCCAGCGTTTTCTTGGATTAGCTGGATGGTATCACCGCTTTGTCCCAAATTTCTCCAAGATCGCTGAACCCATCAATGCACTGAAAAAGAAGGGACATCCTTTTCACTGGTCACCCCAATGCCAGGAAGCTTTTGAGCAATTAAAGGCACATCTCACCTCACCTCCTATTCTTGGCCATCCAAATCTCCAACTCCCTTTCATTGTGTATACCGACGCCAGTGATACCGGACTCGGTGCTGTATTAACACAACGGAAAGCTCAGGGACTGGAGGAAGTTATTTCATATGCAAGCCGCACCCTAAACAAAGCTGAGTCAACTACTCTGCTACAGAGAAAGAGTGCCTAGCAGTCATATCGGCACTTGAGAAATGGCAGCATTACCTGGAGCACAAAATGTTGACCATAGTCACCGACCATTTTGCGCTACAGTGGGTCTTGAGTTCCCCGAAAATCACCAGCCGTCTCATTAGATGGGCCCTACGATTGCAAAGGTTTGATTTCGTCATTGAATACCGCAAAGGCAAACTCAATGTAGCACCTGATGCTTTGTCTAGGATTTCCAGCTTACCTTGTTGCAGCTTGTACTCCAGCCTGAAAGAGGATGTTGAGCTTCCAGTCTCTGTTGTGTCAATTTGGGAAGAACAACACAAAGAACCTGAGATTATAAAAGTGTTTAAAGCATTGGCAGAGAACAACAACAACAGAGATTTTAAATACAAATATGAAGTTGTGGAGGACAAACTATATCACAAGACCCACCTGTCAAATGGCCAAGTCCACTACAGAGTGTACCTGCCTAGCAGCCTCATCCCAGCTGTCCTTCATCACTACCATTCCCATTCTTTAAGCGGCCATGGAGGTATCTACAAAACCTACAAGCGACTACAAGATGTTGTTTTCTGGCCAGGGATGTGGACTAACATGAAACATTATGTTAAACACTGTTTAAAATGTCAAACACTAAAAAGTGATAATCAGAAACCAGCTGGTAAGCTACAACCCATTACCATCTCACAACCCAACAAAATGGTAGGTGTCGACATGATGGGGCCGTTGCCATGCAGCAACCAACGTCATGAGTACCTTCTTGTTTTTGTAGATTACTTCACTCGCTGGGTTGAGGTTTTCCCCATGCGCCATGCAAATGCAAAAACTATAGCAAAGATTCTCACGACCGAAATCCTTACCCGGTGGGGTGTTCCAGACTTTATCTTGTCTGACCATGGCACCCAATTTGTTTCCTCCTTATTCAAAGAGCTGTGTGCAAAACGGAATCTCAACCAAAAATTAACAACAGCATATCACCCCCAAACGAATATGACTGAGAGAGTTAACCGAACCCAAAAATGCATGATTGCCTCATACGTGGGTGACCACAAGAAGTGGGATCAGCATTTACCTGAACTCCGGTTTGCAATTAATTCGGCTGTGCAGGAAAGCATTGGGATGTCCCCTGCAGAACTCCAAATAGGGAGAAAACTGAAAATCCCAATGGATAAATTACTCCAGGTTAAGAGCCTTTCACCATCTACACCATCATATGATGTTGTCCACCATCAAGTGCAACTGAAATTGAAAGCAGAGGAGTGCTGTAAGAAAGCTCAGAAAAGACAGCTCAGAAGTTACAATAAAAACCGACGAGAAGCCTCATTCAAAGATAAAAGCAGTGTTTGGTTAAGAAATTTCCCTCAGTCCAGTGCTCAACACAATTTCAGTGCAAAACTGGCCCCAAAATGGAAAGGTCCTTACCGGGTTTTAAGGTGGTTAGGCCCGTTGAATTATCAGATAGTGTTGGAAGAAACTGGAGAGGACGTCCGCACAGCACACGTGTGCAACCTCAAACCATGCTATCCAACAGCGGAGGAGTTGGAGCTTCAAGAAAAGAAAAAACTCATGGACATATTTGAAGAAACATCTGAGGATGAAGATTTCTTAGGTTTTTGAATTCTTGCTTTTCTCTTAACAACCATCGGTTGTCTTCTTCCAGGGGGGGGAGAGTGTGGCAGAAAACGAAACTAAAAATAAACGAGCCGTCCCTGTGTTGCCGCCAGCCAATAGAAATGTGAACACAACTCAGAAGGAAGTGAGGTAATCCTATAAATACCTTTGTAAAAATGCACGGAAGGTGTGGGAAAAGGCAGGAAGGTGGAGCGTGGAAGATGAAGACGGTGAATGCGAGTACCGGTATGGACAAACACGCAGCTTTATCCACGGGGCGCACGCTGTGTAGTATGCTGGTGCGGTTGCCGGAGTGTTCCGAAGAATGTATTCTCCGAGCTATGGACAACAGTGCAGAGCGTGTGTAAAAGTTGCAGAAGTATGTGTTAGTCCGGGTACCTGTTTTGCCGGAAATATCCAACTCCGATTCGTCACCCAAAACTGTCTTCCGCAGTTGCCAAGAGTAGCGGTTCAGCTGGACGGCTTGACTGTCTCACGCACATACCCCAAACACTCACCAACACTTTTGCCACACACCCTCATTCACATCTATCGCCATTTGGCGTGTGAGTATATACATCTTTTCTCTTTATTTTATTATTTTTTCTTAAGACAGTGAGAAGTTGCTGAATTAATTTTGTTTGCATTTTTCCCTTTATTGTTTTCTTTGAAATACTTTTGCATTAATAATTGGACTCTTGAAACTGCTGATTTGAACAAGGACATAGAGTGGATCCGCATCATATTCGCCATCTCAACTATTATTTTTCCCCCTCCTTTTGATGTTACAAAGTGAAAAGTGTGCAACATTTTAGTTGTTTTTCTTTGTATTTGTGAAAATATAATTGGAACCACAACTAAAACCTGGCTACTGTGCATTCTTATTAATTTTTATTGTGCATTTAATATCTTATCTTTTGACTAAAAAGTGTAAAGAGGTTTAATTATTTGTGTATGTAACCGGTGGCTTTCTTTTTTAGCTCATTTGGGTTTATCTAAATTTAAATTTTGATGTTTACTCCCGTCTGGTGCCCGAAATTTCTTCTTAAAAAAAAAAAAAAAGGAAAACAAAATCTGTTTGTTTTGGGCAACCACCACCGTTACATTACGGTCCCTGTATAAGGGTCTAGGAGTTGAAAGGGACACATAACATAATAGATGGACAACGGCTGGCGTATTCCAAATAAATTCTTTATTTTAACACAAATTACTCACAAAAGTAACCAAAAATAAGAGACGGGGAGCCCAGCAACAAAGGAAGAAATAACTAAACTAACAGAAACAAGCTGGGACTCCCCACTCCAAACTAAAATTACAAACTAAGAAAAAGTATGTGGCGATGTGGCTGTGGAGAAAACTGTGGCTGGCAGAGAGAGAGCGAGAGGGTCTGCCTCCTTCCACTTTATAGCCTCGTCTCCCCAGCTCAACCAATAAGAAACTAGAGAAGACAAAAGAAAGATAAGACAATATGAGCACTAATATTTATTTGAGGACTCTGGGCCGGGGCGTACGCGAGGCGCTCATAACACCCCCACCCCCAGATGGTGAATGGTGAGCCGAAAAAGAAAGCCACCAATCACCATGTAACAATGCGCGGCAACGCATCTGCCAGGACATTATTTTTGCCGGCTACATGTTTTATTTCTAGATTAAAAGCCTGGACAAACAAAGCCCATTGCATTAGGCGCTGATTGGAATTACGCATTTGATGACTAAAAATGAGAGGATTGTGGTCTGTATAAAGAGTAACCGGATGCGAGGAGGAGCCAATATAAACCTCAAAATTATTAAGGGCCAAAATTAGAGCGAGAGCCTCTTTTTTCAATCGTTGAGTACGACTTTTTATGTTTTTTAAACTTTTTAGAAAAATAGCACACAGGGTGCTCAACGCCATCAGGTCCATCCTGCAACAAAACAGCACCTGCTCCCGCATCACTAGCATCAATAGCTAGTTTAAAAGCACGGTCGTACACTGGGGCAGCAAGGACAGGTGCGTGCGTCAGGAGGGCTTTAAGAGACTCAAAAGCATGCTGGCATTCTGGTGACCACTTAAATGCAGTTTTCGGACTTAGCTGGTCAGTGAGTGGGGCAACCACAGAAGAAAAAAAATTACAGAAGCTGCGGTAATACCCTGCCATTCCCAAGAACCGCTGTAGTTTCCGACGAGTGGAGGGAACTTGGAATAACGTGATGGCCTCGATTTTGCATTTACCGGTTTTACCATGCCACCACCCACAATTTTAACCAGGTAAACTACTGTCGCTTTAGCAACATCACATTTAGCCAAATTAACAGTAAGATTTGCCTCTGGAAGACCTGTTTTAACTGATTGATGTGCTCGTCCCATGTTACCGAATGAACAACTATGTCGTCCAAATACGCCTCACACCCCTGCACCCCCCCCCCAAAACGCGGTTAACTAACCGCTGAAAAGTAGCAGGCGCATTGCGTACCCCAAAAGGCATTACAGTATACTGTAAAAATGCATCAGGGGTAACAAACGCACTAATTTCTCTGGCACGCAGAGTTAAAGGCACCTGCCAATAGCCTTTAAGGAGGTCTAACTTTGTCAAAAATGCTGCTGACCCCACACGGTCAACACAGTCCTCCATGCGAGGAAGAGGATAATAATCAGGCTTAGTGACATTGTTAACCTTCCTAAAGTCTGTACAAAAACGGTCAGACCCATCAGTCTTGATAACAAGAAGACATGGTGAACTACATGACCCAATACTGGGTTCCGCAATGCAATGTGACAACATATAGTTAACTTGGTTTTGGAGGCGCTGACATTTTTCTGGGTTGACACGGTACGGGTGCTGTTTAATCGGCGTGTTGTCACCAACGTCGATGTCATGCTGCAATACGTGTGTTTGGGACGGCACATCTGAAAACAACGAAACATGACAATTGATTAACATTTCTACATCTGTACGCTGTGAACAGGAGAGATGCAAAAAAACAAGAATCAAGATTAGCAAGCATCTCAGAATTCTTTAAACGGCCCTGAACTGTAGCGACAGAAGGACTCTCAATGTCACAACCAATTTCAGGAGCAGACAGCGACTCACAGGCCTCAAGGACAGTTTCAGCACCGAATGGTGACACAGAAGGATCACGTACTTGCAAAGCGTTAGACAGAGGCAAACATAAAGCTGGAGAACACTCAGCATTGGTCAAGGCCAGAACTGTGTTTACATCACCAGAGCTAGGTTTGTTCAACTGCTCACGATCATAATAAGGTTTAATCATATTGATGTGGCAAAGTCTGCTATGACGTGCACGGTCAGGAGTAGCTACAATATAATCCCTGTCACTGACTCTCTTTTTTATGACATAGGGGCCACTATAACGTGCCTGAAAGCTGGAACCAGGGATAGGCAAAAACACCAGAACTTTATCCTCAGGCTTAAACTGTCTGACCATGGCCTTTTTATCAAACCAGCCTTTCATCTTGGACTGAGCAGCAAACACATTTTGTGTAGCCAGCTCACAAGCACGGTGTAACTTGTAGCGAAAAGAGCTGACATAATCAAGCAGATTTTGCGGTTTGGACTCATTCAAAGCAATTCTCCCCCGAAGCAGTTTTAAGGGACCACACACATTATGAGCAAACACTAAATCTGCTGGGCTGAAACCAGTAGACTCCTGCACAACTTCCCGAGCTGCAAACAGCAAAAGATGTACACCATCGTCCCACTCTTTTTCAAATTCAAGGCAATAGGCACGGAGCATGGATTTAAAAGTTTGATGAAACCTTTCCAGTGTGCCCTGACTTTCCGGGTGGTAAGCGCTTGAAAAACAGTGGGTGATGTTCAGCTGATCGGCCACCTGTGCAAAAACACGATACATAAAGTTTGTCCCCTGGTCAGTTTGAATTACCTTAGGGAGTCCAAACAATGAAAATAAATTAACGTGTGCTTTTACAACCCCAGGTGCAGTGATTTTACGCATAGGTATAGCTTCGGGAAAGCATGTTGAAGCACACATAATGGTCAGTAAGAACTGGCTGCCAGATTTAGTACGGGGCAATGGACCCACACAGTCAACAATAATATGATCAAATGGTGAATCAACAGCTCGAATAGGATATAAATGGTATGGTGGGATGGGTGGGTTTGACTTTCCAGATATTTGACATGTGTGACATGTTCTACAGTGTAACTTCACATCCCGTTTTAACCCTGGCCAGAAAAACTGGTGCAAGATACGATTGTAAGTTTTGGTAACACCTAAGTGACCACCTAACGGATTGTCATGTGCCAGACTGAATATTTCATTTCGAAACTTGTTTGGAACAACGACTTGTGTGACAATGCTCCAGTCATCCTGTGTGGACGCATAAGATGGTGTCCACTTACGCAGCAGGACATAATTTGTAAGAAAATAGCCAGATGCCATGTCTGCAAGCTCATTCTCAGAGACAACCAATTCAAATAAAGAGACGAGGGACTGATCACGCTTCTGCTCAGAAATCAAATGTTTCCAGGACATGTGCGTGCCACCAAAGCTCTCCAATGGCTTCTTCAGCTCTAACATAGTATGGAGCGAACTGTGCACACCACCTTCACATGGGATCAGAGACTGTAGGTGGAAGACACGCGGCAGAGTTAATATTAGGGGATAATTTAGACTCTATATCAGGATCTATCATAAAGCTATCCTCTAAACCATCACACTCTAAAACATTAGCTTTGGCCATAGCACGCGTGACAGCACACACAAGAAACACTGTGGGATATTTAATCTGCAATTCATCAGGGCCTTTAGAGACAAGGGGCACAGTAGTAACCTCGGGATTTACTAGAATTTTACCCCCAGCCAAATCATTGCCTAAAAGGAAATCCACTCATTTAATGGGAAAACGGTGCACGCAGCCACCGCAGCTGGACCAGACACCAGGTCCGACTCGAGCTGAATGGTGTGCATGGTCAAATTTACAAACTTCATTCCAAAACCCTGCAGCAGCTCACCGCAGCTTAAGGAGGTTTTATCTGAAAGAGGCAACACACTTTGAAGAATAATAGACCTAGAAGCAGCAGTATAATGTAAAATAGTTACTGGGACTTTTATGCAGCTGTCTGGCAATGAAACTGCACCCTTCATAATAAAAGGGGAATAAATGTCCAAGTCCATACATTCAGATTGAGGGGGCTGCGGTGCTGTAGATGTTTTGACCAACGCAACTGCCTTAGGTTTCTTTTTATTCAACAGAAAACAGCTGTTGATTAGACGGCCATGCTTTTTACAGTAAGCGCACACAGGCCTCGCCTTAGCTGTACCCTTTAGGACTGACATGCTCACCAAAGTGAGCGTGTGTAACGGGACCACACTGCGACAGAGAAAAGGGCGGCCTTTCAAAGCTCTCTTTGTGGATCAGAACATATTCATCAGCTACTATCACAGCAGCAGACACATTAGTGACTTTTTGTTCAAGTATGTTGCAATTTTGTCTGGTAGATAATTTTTAAATTCCTCCATGAGAATTAAATCACGAAGCTGCTCAAAGTTCTTCACCTGTTGTGCAGAACACCAGCGATTCTCACGACCAAATTCAACATAACTTTGGCCCTCGGCTTTCTTATAACGTCTAAACTTTTGCCTATAAGCCTCAGGAACCAACTCATAAGACCTTAGAACTGCAGACTTCACCTGGTCATAATCTAAACTTGCCTCAGGTGAGAGAGAAGCATACGCCTCCTGGGTTTTACCCGTAAACACACACTGCAGAAGGCCAAACCTGTGTAGGCCACTTTAAGGGCGTTGCTACCCGTTCAAACAGCACAAAAGGTGGGTTTAAACAAATGCATTTATTAACATCAAAATCTGTCTCCATAGTAGCAGAATCCCTGCTCAACTGTCTAGCTCTAACGTGGACTGATTCACATCTTCCTGTCTCCTCTATTTCAAATTTACGCAGCTCAAACTCATGCTGGAGCTCTTTTCATTGAGGTCTAAGCACCGCATTTCCACCTGTAACTCCAGTTTACGCAGCTCAGGATCGGGATGCGCAACAGCATGTGAAGGTACAACGCTGACAGGAGGGAGAAGCTCTCTTTCAGCTAACGCAGTGTGCAATTGATACTTAATATCTTGTTTTTTATCTTGTTTTGAAATAGGCACTTTGAAATGAGCAGCAATAAAGAACGTACTCAGTTACTAATGTAACCTCGGTTCCCTGAGATACGGGAACGAGTACTGCGTCTTGCTAGATGCATATGGGAAAAAGCCTTTTTTCTCCTGAACTGAAACCTTTTTTCATTCACGCAGTGGAACTGCACGGCCATTGGTTCGTGCAGTGTATTAAAAACGAACCAATGGCTAGACAGCGGAGCTGCACGAGCCTATGGTGACGAAACCCGCCAAAGCCTGCCAAAGCCTGCCAGAATGGGCAGGGCATCTGTCTATATAAGTGGGCGTTCGCCACAGGATTCTCAGGTTACTTCGACTGAAGCGGCGATTGAGTCGTGCAGCTACATAGCACGGCTAGCAACGCAGTACTCGTTCCCGTATCTCAGGGAACCAAGGTTACGTCAGTAACCGAGTATGTTCCCTTTCAATACTACACTCATACTGCGTCTTGCTAGACGCATATGGGAACACAGTACAATCACGCCATGCTAATGTTATTGGAACGACTAAAAATATCAAACTTCCATAAGCAACCAATGCCCATAGAGAAGTTAACAACAACCCAAGACTAAGACGGGCTGAGCTTCCTGAGGTCACACGCAGCCTGGTTAAACGTTCCAGAGTACTCCTGTAACTTCGACACCCAGGGGTCGAGAGCTAACAGGTGAACTAATGCCAGAGAGCTTGAGCGTGATACGGCCAAGGGCTCTCTGCCAGATCTGTTTACGCAGCGCATGTCACTTCAAGTGGAAAGGACCCTGGCCTGCAAGGCCGGGACTTCCAGGTTATAAAACCTTGCGAATGTGGACGGCGAGGCCCAGCTGGCCGCCTCACAAATATCCGCAATGGACACACCACTGGACCATGCCCAAGACGAGGCGATGCCTCTAGTCGAGTGGGTCCATACTCCAATGGGGCATTGAAGGCCCAAAGAAGAGTACGCTAACGAGATGGAGTCTACTATCCATCTAGAGCAGGGGTGCCCAAACTCAGTCCGAGAAGTTTCTAGCATGCCTAGTAAGAGCTTGATTAGCTGGTTCAGGTGTGTTTGATTAGGGTTGGAGCTAAACTCTGCAGGACACCGGCCCTCCAGGACAGAGTTTGGGCACCCCTGATCTAGAGAGTCTTTGCTTCGTAACCGGAAGCCCTTAGGTGCGGTTACCGAAGCTGACAAAGAGTTGTTCCGACTGCCTATAGGGGGCGGAACGCTCAATATTGATTCTCAGGGCTCTGACGGGGCAGAGCAGTGATAGCTCTCTGTCCTCTTCAGTTGGAGGAAGCGCGAAGAGCGTAATGACCTGTGCTCTGAACGGAGTGGAGAGCACCTTAGGTGCGTAACCATGCCTTGGTTTCAGGAAGACTTTAGTGTCGTTAGGCCTGAATTCCAGGCAGGCAGGGCTAATAGAGAGCTTGAAAACTGAGTCTTCAGCGATAGTGACCGAATGTTGGCAGACTGTAGCGGCTCGAAAGCGGGGCCCTTCAGGGCCCTCAGCACAGTGGGCAGATCCCATGAAG